TCAGACCCACTTCTGGTTCCTCGCCGCATTTTCCCGCCAAGGGCGAATAAGCCTCCCAGCTACCCTCCCCCTTCTCCCCCGAGAAAAGAGAGACACCGCGGAGTCGCTCGACGCTCACCGCGGCATTGCGCACGAGTTCGCGTCCCCCCCCCCCCCCCTCCCCGCCGCCCTCTCTCCTGCCTCCCCACAGGGATCTTCCCGAGCGTTCGCGTTTATAATCCAGACGAACTGCACGCCGCGTCTTTCCTGCCTCTGCCTCCCTCCCGTTCCCCAGCCAGGCAGCCCACCCACCCACTCCAGGGACACCAGCGCGAAAGAAAGTCGCACCCAAGCGCCGCCTGACTGCGGTGGAGGAGTGAGCTCGACAGACATTCGCTTGGGGGTGTGGTGTTCTTTTCTGGCCGGCCGGCCGGCCGCTCGCTCCTGCGTCTCTCTTACTCTCCCTTGCTTCGCGGGCGGGCGCGCGTGCAGAGCAGGCTCCCGAAGCGGGAGCAGAAGGCGGTGGCGTCGGAGAACCGGCGTCGTGGAATGTCCCTGTGCTCCGCCTTGCCTCCCGAAGTGGAGATGAGCCACAGCCAAGGCGAAGAACGCCTCTCTTGAAGACTCCGGAGCCAGGATGGTGTACCTGCAGCAGCCTTTACCTCTGGTTGTGGTGGCGCAGAGTTTCTTCCTCCCGCTCGTAAGTCCGCTTTGCCTGGGGCGACTCCCTCCTCCCCTCCTCGTTTCGGCAGTCTCTGCGGAGGCTGCGAGGCTATCGCGTCCGGATTTTGAGGGCGTGCGGTCGCCTAGATCTCTGCCGCCTTCTTTTCTTGCCGTTTGGTGCAAGCTTAGACGTTCCTCATAAGTTTGCCATCCTTCTAGATGAGTTTAACGTGAGGGGTTTGCTTTGAGATTGGGCCATAGTTCCCCCGCTCTAACTGATCTCCCTCCCATTCCCTTTTTGCAAGGGAGCAGGGCTCGCGTGCCTCTCCTCTCGCGTTCGGAGTGTCGCGGGAGCCACCTCTTGGCATCTCTGGTGTGCAAAGGAGGTCGTAGGAAGCTTGGGCTTGGCGCGGTGCTGGAAACTTTCTTCGACAGCCACGGGGAAAGCTGCTCGTTCCTGGCCGGACCTGGGTTTCCGAATATTGCGGGCCTGTCAGTTCGGGGACCCGAGGGTCTGCTTTTTGAGGCTGCGGTGAGGAGAAATCATTCGCAGCACTCGCCGCCTTTAAAGCGATTGCCTTTAAAGAGCATAAGGAGGCAAACGGGTCTTTGTTTTAAGCCAGCCGCGTCCTCCTGAAGTTCTCCCTTCCCCATTTTTCACTGGGAACCCTGGAGAAGCACCTGCGTTGTCCAGCATTTTGAATATTCTGAGTTTGGGTCTAAAGGTATAGAACGGAGCATTCATGGCTGAATTACTGTTACTGGAACCAGTACTTAGAAACTTTGATAGGAAATTAGCAACTTTTTCCAATTATCTCGATAGGTAATGGCGTCACAGACAGGAATTGGCAGTTTCCTTTGCCCAAACTCCCGGAATGCTCAAATTGACAAGAGTTATGTCATGTCTTGAGCTGATGATCTACAGTGACAGAAGCTCTTTCTTCCACAGGAGGGTTCTGTGCTGATTTTTAGTAAAGAAAATCTAGGCATTTAGTGATTATGAGGGAGAATTTTGAAAAGTGTTCATATACACAAACACATTATTATGGAAGAATCTTAAGGGACCAAAGACTTTAAAGTTCTGCCTAGAAGTAATTGGTCTGGATATCATTTCCTTTTGATATAAGATTTACTTGTATACTTGAACTTTGTATGATTTTAGTTCATTGCTCAGATATAAACATTCTTATATAATTATTTGTCATTTGTACAACTTGGTGCAGCACATATTTATAATGATGTGACTGCGTATATTGGATTTACTGCTTTTAGGTGGGAGGTTTAGGTGGGAGTAAACATTTTTACAGCCCAGTCAGACTAGAGAGTTGGGTGGGAGTAAACAGGATTGTAGTCTAAAATAAAGGACAAAAGCTTTGTGACTGATAGTAAGTGTAGTGTACTGAATGCAGTTGTAACACACTTTAGAGAATAAATAAATTACTGTAGAAGTTAAATATATACTGTGTAAAAAGAAGAAAAAGCACTGAAATATCCAGTTTTGCTAAAGAAAAGCATTAAAATGTGGTATTGCAATTAAATATTTTGCTTTTTAAAAAAAAATAAATCACCATCCTTTTTTCAGGAAAATGTCAACTGCTTGCACACAGCAGGATGTAAAGCTTTGTTTTCATCCCAGCTGTATGCAACCTGACATGGTATGTGTATGAGAGTTTGTGTTACTGTAGTCAATAATGGAATATGTAATAAACCTTGAAGGTTTGAAATAGCCTTCTTAAGAGCTGATTCTAATATTACAGTAGGAGTTGATTGATTAGTTTTTGAGAAAGCTTATTTCAAATTCTAATCCTTTTCTAAGATTGTGCTTGTCTTGTAAGGTTGTGGGACTTTCTCTTTCTTTCTTTTGCTTTGGTGTTTTATCATAGCAATGAAATGCAAAGCTGCAGTCTTGCGATAAGGCATATACTTTCTTTCACAGTGCTTTCCTTACAAAAAAAAAAACAGTAAAAGCCTGTGTATACGCTTAAAATAGTTTCCTGCTAAACATCACATAGGGGTTAAGGATATAAATGGAAAATAGTGAATGGAGCAGGAAAATGCTACATTGAAATTTCCCTATAAAAAATCTACTAGATATATGAGGGACTGATTAAAACTTCCAGCAGGCATTGGTTTTATTTCATATATAACTGAAACAATAAGATTTGTACTACTTTACATCCTCTGCCTTGTCTGTGAATGCTATTCTGAAGGATCAAGACATTTAAAATGCATGTAGAGAAAACTTCAGATAGTAATATGGTATTCATTAGGAGTAGTTCATTTTTATGTTTACATAATTTGAATCTCACTGAGGAGCACCCTTTTAACACTCTTCTTGTGCACATTACTTTAATCAGTTGTCATTCAGTCCTGTATATGTGTTAGGAATTAAGTTCTAATAAACTCTGTAGATTTATTCCCAGGTAAATGAATATAGGAATATGTTGTGCCTTCCAGCTATAGCATCAGTTTGCTGTGGTAAATGTATTAGATACCTTTGAAAATAGTGAAAATAATGTATTGTTAGATTACAGTATTGCAGAGATTTTTGCAACTATATTAAAGAAAAAATCACTGTGGTTTCAGATTTTTCAGTGATTAAATGTCTTCCAAACATTGACGGTATTCAAAAATATTATTAAAACTGGCAAATGTAAACATAGAAAATAGCCTGTGCATGATAACCAGCACTTATTTTAATGCTATTTAAATAGTAAGCTGAAACTTATTTTAAAATTTGATGAAGACTATCATCAGTAGTCTTCATCAAGTGCAGAATTAAAAATTGAGTATAATATTTTATAATCAGTAGAACAAGTCAAAATCCCATTTTTACATTGTGTATGCTATTTAAGTTTTCAATCCTAATTGCTGGTTTAACTTATGCTGATTTTTTAAAAAATTACTTTACAGTGATTCAAGGAACATTTTCTTTTTGCCTTGTAAATGAAGCAGTCTGTTTCTGCTAGAAAGTAATTAATACATCTATGCTGTCCTTTGTATACCGTATAGTAATGAAGGTTACACACTATATATATATTTTATGAATAATTTTTACCACAATATAACAGCAGTCTTATGATCCCTTAATGAACATTTGCCCTGGTGGTAATTAGTTCTGAGAAAAACAGAGGAAACTTCTAAAGAAATTTACATTATATTATGTTATTGATGTGTCTAAAAATACAGAGGGTGTACTTAAAGTAGGCAGTAAATTTTTTTTCCTGTATGTTAGATAGTGGGTAGCCATCAAAAAGCTAATTTATTATAACTCACCATTTGCTAATATGGCCGTCAATATATGCCAAAATAATACCATACCCAGTCAATAATCACTTAGCCGTTAGCTAAATAGTAACAAAAGGAGATTTGTTCAGAATTAATGTCAGTGACTACTATTGTTTTAAAACTAATATTAATAGTCATTAGGTTTTTCTGTTGTAACAAATTATTCAGTGCCATGTTAATAACTAGGACACAGGAGCAAGGGAATTGAGGTCACTATTTATAGGAAAGTGCCTTATAAAAGAGATTTTTATGTCCCATTCCTCAAGGCAGCACTGTTAATGTTGAATCAAGCATGTTTATCATTTTCCTACAAAAACATACATTATTTTCCTGGTATTCCATTTTTCTTACTTATTCTGTTTACAAATGAAAGATATAGTAGTGCATATTTCAGAAGAGTTAATGTTGCAAAATCAACTTTAAATAAGGTTTCTATTTTTAAAAATGGCATGAGAGACATTAAATGCTGTTTCTTGATTTTTCTATTAAAAGTGTATCTTGTTACAAAAAATGAATATCAATATATCTATGGTATAATGAATGCAGTTCATTATACTATAATGTAGTTCTACTAACACTTTTAAAATCTTGTATTTCATAAAGGTATATAAAAAGTATATGTTCTTAAATGTGTCTGTAGTTCATGGAAGTGCTGATATCTCTATAAAGATATAGGTATAATTTGGAAATATGTATTGCGTTTCTATAATGGGAAGGAAAGGAGGTTCTGTAAACATGTTAACGTAGTAAATGTGCCATTTACTGCTCTCATTTATATTTTATTTGATATTTTGTGGCTAAAAACTATTTGTATTTCAGCTTTGATTTAAAAGAAGAAAGAAATAGGATGGCCAGTTTGGTTTCAAAAAAAGACACTACTTTTCTTGGTGTCAGTGTAGCCTGAGGTGCTTTATTATTCAGGTATTTCTTATACATATGCAAATATATGCATGCATACTATACATGTAAAAAACACCATTTTAGAAAACCACATTGGAAGTCTTGTACAAGAGATTAGCCCTAGTATTGACCAAGAACATTTTAAAATAGAATATGGAGATAGTTATAATCAATTATGGAGAAAACATTTAATTGTGTCATTAAACACTTCTGAAGTGTTAATATTCTGAACATATTGTGAAGAATTAGAAGGCAATATATTTGAAATAGAATTTGGCAAGTAGCATATATGAAAATCCAAAATGCAGTTTTGCATTCCTTGGTTCGCTTCTCTTAATCTGTTGCCATCTCTCCTTGCTCCGTGATTACACACAGCTCTTCTTTCTATGTTGTAATCATCCACTATTATCCTCCCCAGTTATCCCCAGTTAAGAATGGCACTATACTGTTTCCACGGTACTTGTGGAGTCTGATAGGTGTCTTGTATGAAACAACTAAAATAGCTGAACAATGATTAACAGGCTACAAAAGAAAAAAGAAAAAAAGGATTTCTATCATTCTTCCTTAGAAATCATAGAAAGAAGCTATGGCTCCCATTCTTTTTGTTACAGGTTTGGTCAAACCTCATTGTGCCGATGCTAAGTGAAGTAACACTGGTGTCTAACTTCTTCATCTGTAGGCCTGAATTCTACTCCTTACTGATTTGATGGCATTATAACATTATGACAAATATGTAGATGTTTGTTAACCATACATTGTTTACAATCAAAAATCAACACCCTGTAGAAGAGAGAAGAAAAATGTACCTTTGAATAATCTTGACAGCATTAAAAAGAAATCCTAACTATT